AGCCGAGCTTGGGCTGCGAGGACGCGGGCGGAGTGACGGGAGCCGTTTCTGGCTGCTTATGCGGGGTGATCGGAAAGGAGACTTAAAACACCCAAACCATCCGCGCGCACACGCACGCACACACACATACACACACACACACTTACTCCTTCACACACACAATGATAGCACTGATTCCCTGCAAAATAATGGGTTTAAATCGCGGCAACTTAAAAAATTTCCAACTCTTGATCTAGAAGAGGAGGGGAGAAGCTCAGTGAAGGGAGAGAAAAATCACGTCAGTCCCACCTTTCCCCCGATCGGCTCCTCGAGTCGATCTTGGTATGATCACGGTGGAGGACATGGATTTCTCCTGGAGCTCCTGGTTGGACATCTGGGGGGGGGGGGGCGCTGGCAGTCATCCCCCAACTGCCAGTCAACCACTGGAAAATGCACCCCTCTTCCCCACTGCTCGGAGCTCTTTCCCGCAGCTCCACTCCCTAGAACACTTTTCAAGTTACTCCCCACGCTTTACCCTCCCTGACTCCCAGACCCGAACCAGATTGGTGAGTGGGAGTGGAGGGTTGTGAGCGGACAACGTTCACCGCCTTCTCTTCTCCCAGGTGGGAAGAGGAGTAAGGAAGGCCAAAGTTTGCTTCCTTAGGTGAAGAAGGTGGGGGGTGAGGGCGGAAAACAGATCTGAACAAAGACCTCTGCCCATTTTGTAACCCCCGCAAGGGCAGGAGGAGGGGCTGCCTTGTACTCCTTGAGCCAGGGCAGTTTCTTTCCCACCCAGAATTCCCAACCCCTCTCCCCATTTATGCCATGTGAAATCTCAGCTACTTGGGAAACAGGAGTCTAGAGAGAATTCTTGGGGTGGAGGTGAGGAAAATAGAGTGTTTGCAAGGCTGTGTGCTGACCAGAAGTCCCAGGCCAGGCTGCTGCCAGGGATTAGATGCTCCAGAGAGGGAGCTGCTTGTACTGTGGTATGTTGAAGCGGCTCAGCATCTGCTCAGTGTAGGTGCTATGCTGAGTACACGGTTTCCCTCCTGCCTCCTACAGGAGGGGCTTGGGGATGGCTGTGGGAAGGTGGGAAGGCCCCTGGAAATTTGAGGGCCTAGTAAGTGCTCCCCTGACTATGATAGGGGATTTGGATTCCATGTTGGTCAGGCCCGGAGACCCTTTGCCAACCCCCCCCCCCAATGAAGTCCCCAGGGGCCCTGGTCCTGCTCTGGGGTGTGGCCTGCACCATTCAGCTTCCCCAAGCCAGATGCAGCTTCTCTCCTGAGTGGGAGGGGCTGAGAGAAAGCTGGGAAGGTGCTCGGGCCCACTGTCATCCTGAAACCCTTCCCAGCAACTCTCTGGAAGTGGACTTTCATTTAGAAGGGCCTATTGTAAAACCTGAACTTTTCTGCTGGTGCTGGTTTGAAAACCCACGTTCCTGGGGCCAACTATGGTCAGGGCCAAGAAGAAAAGAAAATTGTATTTCAGGAAAAGTAGCCAGATTGCTGGCTGCTGAGCTGCATAGACCTTGGGCAGGCAGGGCTTCTAAGTGTGGGCACCTGCTGAGGTGTAAGGTGGGGTGAGCAGTGGGGAGCACAGGCCCCTCAGCCACCTACAGGGCCTAGACCTAACTGAAGGGGGCTGAGGAGTTTACTCTGTTCTCCTTCCCAGAAGTGCCACTAGGGATCATGCACAGAGAGAGAGAGAGAGAGAGAGTGAGTGTGTGTGTGTGTGTGTGTGTGTGTGTGGTGTCAGAGATGCCCACTCTGGTGTAAAGACAAAGACATTGCCTGTGACCCTGGGGGCTGACTGGTGAGAGAAAGGGGTGAGAGCAGCGTTCTCCTTTGACCACTGACCTTCAGTTCTCCTTTTGTTGAGAAGCCCCTTCTTAAAGCTGGGTGTGAGGAGTTAACTGAGTGACTATAGAATATTGAAGACTCTGGGTTAGGTCAGTAAAGAGGAAGGAATAGGCTGATGTTAAGGCAACTTCAGTTCCAGGGCCCCTTTCCTGGCAAGAAGCCCCTATTTGGGAGTTGACTGGAAATTCCACTTGGGAGGGAGAGGCTTCTTTGGAGTTTGAGAGAGGCGGTTTCGGATGGGGTATGGGGTTTGAGTTCTCAGGAGCAAGGGCTTTTGATATGCCCCTCCCAAGAGCCTAAGGCTGTGGTGGAGAGGCCTTCCTTGTCCAGCCATCCTGACCTCCAGTGTTGATGTACCCAGGGAGAGCGTGAGGTGGGGAAAAGCAAACTGAGGGCCAACCTGCATTCTGCCTTGCATTCTAGCTTTCGTGGGGACATTTGAGACAGGAGGGCAGTTGTAGATCTGCGTAGTCTCTCAGTCCCCCTGTGTCTGTAGAAGCTGTTCCACCTGTCTTTTCTCGATGGGTCTGAGTTTTCTCCTGATCTAGAACTTGGAAACATCACCAGAGTACCTTCTGACCTTTACTTTCTTAGAAGTCTTGGTTAAAGTCTCCAGGTTGCAATGATTCCATTCTCTGACTGGGCTTGATTGGTTCTAGGGGTCACGAAGCCAACTGAAAGAGTCAGAAACAGACAACAAGTAGGCACAGTTTGGTGAAAGGATGGACTGGCCCTTTGCAGAGTGTCTTCCTGCCCTGGTCACATGCACCAGTTGACAGACTTGGGGAAGCCCTGGCTTTTGGCATGGGAGCCTAGGAATCTGTAAGGGTCTTCCCTTGGGGCTCTGGGCCTCACCGGTAGGGCAGGCAAGGTAAATGTCCTTATTGCCTCAATCCCTTGAGGCAAATTCCCTGACCTTTAAGCGTGCTATAAGTTCTGAGTCTACAGAAAGCCGAGGATGAGGATGCTAGGGCATCCCTTTCTCAGTTCACTTCCAGCAGAGCAGCCTTAGGCTCAGTCAAAGTGGGAGGAAAGAAGCCGACCGACCAGATGCTGAGGCTGAAGTTAAAGGAGGGCCCAGGGCTGAGCTGCGAGGCTCCAGTGGGCTGGTTGGCTGGGTAGTGGCGGCAGGTGCAAGTAAGGCAGTGTCAGCTCAGCTGCTCCTGGGTGCCCCAGATGCACCCGATTTATGCTCGGATTATGCTCAGACCTAGGAATCTGCTGAAGCTGAGAAATAAAGATGCTGCCTCGGCTTGTGCGGGAGGACACCTCTCCAGCCAGTGCCTGGGCAGGTGCCCCACTACCAGTGCCCCACACTCTGTGCTGATTTCTTCTCTGATCTTGCCTTTAGCTCTTCCTGTGCTGAGGTAGAGGTGTGTTCAGTGAAAGAAGGAAATGTCTCTTGCTCTGGCCCCTGAGGCTTTTGTCCACCCCAGGCCACCCCCTGCTCCTGTCTTCCTCCTTGTGGTGTAGGCCTCCTGTGTCCCTTGTCCCTCTAGGAGCAGATTCCTTTTCTCCTGGCAGCTCTCTCTGGAGTGATAGTCTCGCTGTCCTGAGCTCTGCCTCTAGGTGCCGCTGTCTCCCTGTGGTAGCTCCCCCAGAGCAGGGCCTCCTAGGGGGAAAGAGTGAGAAGCGGTTGTCTGGGTAGGGATGGGGGAGCGTGTTCTGCGGTATTCTGAGGAGGGGACTTTTGGCCTCAGGGGTCTTATATTTGGGGGTGGGATGGAGTAGAGGAAGTCTTTGGCCTTAGAAAAGGCAGACTTGGCTACTGGGCCATGGTATGGGCTGGAGTTAGGAGCTTGGAAGAGGACAGGAGGACTGGGAGGAGATATCTGTGTCTAGAGGAAACCATTTTGGAGCTTGGCTTTAAAAAGATCAAGTGGGCCTCTCCCTGCCCTTCATCTCCATTTCTTCTTCCCTAACCCTCTCCCTTCTGAGGGACTGTGCCCCTGTGGGTTTGGACACTCCGGGGCAATGGATGAGCAGGGTGAGGTCATTGGCCCTTGTCCAGTTTGGAGAAACGGGGCTCAATCCGTGAGGTAAGGTTCTGATGGAGGGAAGCTCTTTCCCTTTTGCGGTTGATTTATTATCTGGCTCTTTAGGAGGAAGAAAAAAGAGGAGAGATGGGGGAGAGGGTTTTAGAGAAGGGCAGAGAGCAGAAGAAAGGAAGAAAAACAGAAGATGAGGGAGAGGAGGCAAGGCCATTCAAAAAGAAAAGGTGATCACGGACAGAGAGACCTCGTAGGAGGAAATCAGAAAGAGAAGCATGGGAGATAGAAAAGCCGGGAAAAGGGAAGACAGTCTAGGGAGGAGGAGAAGAGAGAGGCAGAGGGAGTAAATTGAGTTGCTCCCCAGGCTTGCCTAAAGTATTTTCTTGTGGAGGGGGCCTGGGGTAGAACTTGTCCCGTGGAAGGCAAATTTCAGGTCTCTGTCTGGTGGGAGTTGAACTGGAAGGTGTGTAGGTCTCTCCCTGTGTTTCCTTGAAGCCCAGAAGCTCAGAATAAATAGGCTATGGGTGAGAGGGGTTTTTTCTGCCTTTTGTGGGTTGTTGGGGTGTCATCTTCCTTCTTTGGGCCTCAATTTCCTCAGGGGCTGGACTCTCTGGTCTCTGAGGTCCTAACAGACTATGAAAGTTAAATTACTTTCTGCTGGTTTCAAGGCTTAACACACTGTCTCAGATGGGCCTCTGGCTAGAACTGAGGTTTATGGGAGGACTGGGTAGTGTTAAAGAGAGATTCCCCCTTTGTACACGCCAGCAAGCCCTGCAGCCCTGGCTTCTCACTGAGGCTGTGGCTGTCTTCTCTGGACTCTTGGTGTCTTAGACTGTCTGTGGTCTCCCGTGAAGGCCGAGCCGCAGGCTTGCTGTCTTTACTGTGCTGTGCTCCTAGACCCAGGGCCAGTGCTCAGGAGTGGTGTAGTGGACACAGGAAGAGGAAGTAATAGAACCAGGGGAGAATGGCAGCTTGAGTTCTCCTCTGGGTTTAGGGAAAGATACTGGTGTTTTGGGATCCTTTCACCGCCTTGTCTCTGGTCCGCCCTGTGTTGGAAAAGGCAGTGTTGGCCTTGGTGTGCCTCAGTGTAAAACGGGTGTGAAGTTTCCAGAAGGGTCCAAGCCCCCAGGCCTGTACCTTGGGGCGGACATTGTGGTGGCCCTCATTCATGCTTGTCTTCCCTCCCCACTACCCAGACGAGACCCTCGGCTCTTTGGCCAGCCCTTCCTCCCTGCAGGGCCCCGAGCCCCACGGCTGGCGCCCCCCAGTGGACTGTGTCCGGGCCAATGAGCTGTGTGCAGCTGAATCCAACTGCAGCTCCCGCTACCGTACACTGCGGCAGTGCCTGGCAGGCCGGGACCGCAACACCATGCTGGCCAACAAGGAGTGCCAGGCGGCCCTGGAGGTCCTGCAGGAGAGCCCGCTGTATGACTGCCGCTGCAAGCGGGGCATGAAGAAGGAGCTGCAGTGCTTGCAGATCTACTGGAGCATCCACCTGGGGCTGACCGAGGGTAAGCCCGGGTGGGGCCTTGGCGGGGAGGTGGTGGAGGTGGTGAGGGGACTGAGGTGGGGCGTATGGTGGGCCAGGGGTTCAGAGGGAGGACTTGGTCATGAAATGAACTGGACAGCTCTCTGCCTGCCAGGGGAACCTAGAACCCAGGAGAAGTAACCCCATGATCTAGGATGGCTGCTGCTGTTAGAGAAAGCCAAGAGAGACAAAAAAGGAGGCAGAGTGACAGCGGGAAAGGCAGAGAGGGCAGGGTGGTGGGAAAAGGAGAAGGAGGGTTGGAGAGATGAGCAGGGGCTGGGGAAGAGGAAGTAAACAAGGACGGTGTGATGCAGTAGCAGGAGAAGATGAGGCAAGAGTAACCAGACAGATGGGAAGTGGGAACTAAGAAGAGAGAAGGGGCAGGTCACGTAAGTGCAAAACCATGCTGCACAGAGAAAGCAAGCCCTGGCCCTCCCAGCTGCCCAAGGAGCTGAGACCAGGGGCTGGTCATCCTGTGCCTGTCCCTCTGGCTCCTGCCTTCTTGCTCCCAGGACACCTGCCTTTTCAGGCAGCTTCCTGATTCCATGGCTGGCCTAAGCACCTTCTCCAGGCCTTTGAGCTGTGTGTGGGCAGCAGGTCCCACACCCCCTGGTGCACCTGCCTCCACATCCCAAAGCAGAACCCTGTAAATCCCTCCCCTAATGACTTCCCCACCCCACCTCTTTCCCTCCTCAGCTGGGGTATGGAAGGCTTGCACACACATTAGGAGGACTGGTCACCCAGGTCAGATGTTCATTTATTTATTCAGCAAATATCTGTTGAGAATTTACCATCTGTGAGGCATTGTGGGAACAGTGGAGAACAAGCTGTGTGCAGCCTCTGCCTTCATGGAACTCATTGTCTGGGGATGCAGATAAGTAAGCAGCTTCTGTAATTTGGTGGTGTGAGTACTATGATGAAGAAAGCACAGGGTGCTGTGGTAGCACATAGGAGGGGCATCTAATCCCTTAGGAAATCTCAGAAGCCTTTCTGGAAGGGGCAGCCTCCAACCTGAGACTGTTGGAGTTACATAGGTGAAGAGGTATAGGAAGAATGTGTGAAGTACAGGGAATAGCATGGGCAAAGGCCTGGATGTGAGAGAGTTGAACCCATTTGCACAACTGCAAGTAATTCAATATGAGTAGAGGGTGGAGTTGGAAGTGGTGATGGAGTGAGGAGAGGTGGGGAGCAGTACAAGATCTGATGGTCAGTAGGGAGCCCTGAAAGGTTAAAGCAAGATGATCAGATGTGCTCACATCAGATGTGAGATAATCAGATCTATGCTTTGGAAAAAAGATTATGTAATTCCAATGAAGAAGGACTGTTAGAAGGCCACTGCTGTGGAATGATGGCAGCTGAAGCAGGAGAGTGTAGGAAGAAAAGAAGATGGAGCTGAGAGCTATTTAGGAGGTAGAATCAACAGGTCTTAGTGACTAACTGAAGGTGAGAGGGTGAGGGGAAGAGAGGAGTCAGAGAGGGCTCCATGTTTTCTGTCTTTGGCAGCTGGGTGAGTGACGGTGCCCTTCACAAGAAGAAGCCAAGGTTTTGAGTGGGGGTGGGCAGGGAAGATGATGAATTTATTTTGGGGCATGTACCCTACAGCCAGTTGGACATGCACGTTTGGAGCTCAGGTGAGAAATACGGACTGGAGATAGAGATTTAGGAGTTGACATCCACCTTTAACTGGAGCCAAGGGAGTGGGTGAGATCACACAGGGAAGTTGTGGAGAGTGAGAGGGAGGAGGCAGGGGCAGAGCCCTGAGGATCATCTGACATTTAAGGATGCTTGCAAGGGTGACTGAGAAGGTACTGGAGACAGGTAGGAAGAAAACCAGGAAAACAAGGGATGAACTCCTTTTCAGAAGGAAGGAATGCCAACAGTGTCAAATACTTTAGGCCAAGCAGGAAGAGGATTGAAAAGTGTCCCCAGTGTCCTTGGGAGAGCTCCTTAGGTGACTGGCAGGAGCAGAAGCCTGGTTGGGGAGAGAACGGGAGCCCAGGAATTAGGAATGGTGAATATGGACAACTACTTCTAGAATTTTGGTATGAAGAAGGGAAAAGGATGATTTTTTTTAAAGATGGGAGTGGCTTGAGCAGTTCAAATTCTGGAGGAGGGACAGGAAAGATGGAGATATTAAGGTGGAGAAGAAAGAGGGATTCTCTGTAGAACAGTGTCCTTGGGGACAGGAGAGAGTGGACCTAGAGCATGAGGAGGGATTAGCCTTAGATCAGAAGAAGAGCACTTCCTTCAGGGTACTGGAAGCGGGGGAGGAGACTGGGATGCAACTGTAGGTCTGGAGGCAGGAGAGAGAGGGATTCCTGACCTGGGGCTAAGATGGTTCAAATATGCCCTGAATATAGGAATAAGATGTGCATATGATTATTAACAGTATTACTACCATTAATAACAAAGCAATTCCTCATAAATCAGGTGGCCACTTCTCCCATTTCTAGCTGCCTTGATTCCTAGAACTAGAAGTGAGCAAAGAGAGGGAAATTACTATCATAAAGCACACGCGTTTTTTCTACATGAGACAAGAAGCTGTCTTCACCTAGAGCCTGACTCTGTAGTGTACAAGAAATTAAGACTTCTGGCTCAGTGAGCTTGGTTGTTTTGTTCCGTGTTTTCTTTCTGGCAGCCTTCAGTTTCAACCCAGGGGAGATTGGGCAGCAGGTTGGGCTTGTTCCTGGCTGCAGAAAGGACAGGGAAAGGATGGAAGTAAAGAAAAGCCAGGTGGGAAGTCTGGGCCTTTCAGCACAAACAGCCCTTCACATCTCAGTGGTTCTCTCTTGCATCATTGCTTCAGAGCACAGAGGACTGTGATAATCTGAGCCTGAAGAAATGAGGTGTCCCGACAATCACAAAAGCATGAGGTCCTGTGCATTTGTGTTGTACACTGCTGTGTAGTTTTCAAGGCCCCCAGGTAGCACAAATGGTTTGTGCTTGACTACTAACCTAAAGGTTCGCTGTTCAAACCCATCCAGTGACTCCGTGGAAGAAAGTCCTGGTGATCCTCTTCCGTAAAGATTACAGCATTTGAAAACTCTATGAAGCAGTTCTACTCTGTAACACATGGGATCGCCATGAGTTGGAACTGACTCAATGGCAACCTGTTCTTGGTTTCATTTCAACCTAGTGCCTGTGGGATGCCTGACTGGAGAGGATTCATTTCTGGTTCCAAGTCTGTAGATGATCTATTCATTCATTTATTCAGCAAACACCTGTTAAGCACCTACTATGAATGAAGAAACCAGAGTCCTTATGCTGGCCAGTTTACAGGCTGGAAGACCTTTCTCCTAAGCCTGCCTCTAAGAAAGGAGACCACCTGCCTTTCTCCTTCCTTAGGAGCCTGCCTCTTTCCCTGGGGGATTCCAAAAACCCTCTGACTGGGTCTTAGGGACCAGAGATAGTTCCTGCCCAGAGCTGCGTAAGGGGAGCCAGGAGGCCTTTGGACAGAAGATAATGCTCCTGTAACTGACAGGGTCTACCTGAGAGTTAATTATTCATGGCCAGGGTTGTGAAGTTTCCCTGGGTGGGGGGCTGCAAGTACTTCCTCCCTATTCCTTAATCACCCTTAGTAACCTGGCGTGGGCTTGAGGCAGAGGGGAGGGGAAGAGTCACTGAGAAGAGATGCTTGCATAGGTTTGCATTTTTCCTTCGATTCTTGGTTTCTCCTTGGCCCCTGCTGATGGGCGATTCGCTGTTGGGCTTTGCTCCGCCTTATTTCTCTACCTGAGGCTAAGCTCGTGGTCTACATGCTGAGGATCTCAGAGTGTAGTAGGTGGCAGTGGAGGAAGGGGAGGGGGCTGTGGCAGGAATGTGGCCCTGGAAGATGTGACTGCTGAGTTCCTAGACAGGCTGAACTACAAAGGTCCTAGAGATCATTTGGTCCCACCCGCTTGTTTGGTGGGGAAGCTGAGGCCTAGGGAGGTAGAGTGGCTTGCCTAGGGACACACAGCAAGCTGGTGGCTGAACCCAGGCTAGAACCCAGGACTCCGTAACTCGTTATCTAGGTCCGTTTTCACTGCCCTGGGGAAGATCCCATGGCCTTGGACCTATTTTCCTTCTCTGTCGTCACCACCACCATAACCAGCAGTATTTACACAGTGGGCTGTTGCTGTTGGCTGTGTGGGGTATTAGAGACCAAATTTCTTGGTAACACTGAAATTCATGATCACCCTGGCCCTTTGAGGAGCATAGGCCTCTCCCTCAGATCCTCCCCAGGCTGTGGCCCTGGAATCTGACATCCTTGATCTGGCTTCAGCTTGGCTGCTGTGGTGCCTGAGTGACCCTGGACTTGGGATTTCCAACTGGTGAATCTTGCTGCAGGAGCAGGTGACATGTGTTGACTTACAGAGGATGGGCCCTCCAAAATGGCCCTGGAAGATGTTTCCCCCAGAGACCCTTCAGTCAATCAGACCGACTTACCACCCCCATGTGCATAGGTACACTAGATGCAGGATCGAGGACAGACCCTGCTCTGGGAGGATCCATTCAGCTGGCAGGAGAAGACTTGAGCTGTGAAAAATTAAACAACAATGGTATCTTGTTTAAGAACAACTTGGTTTCAATAGCACTTTGTAATTTTGGAGATAGTATTCATAGTTGTTAAGAACTTGAGCTCTGACCCACTGCCTGGGTTTAAAGCCTGACTCTGCCACTTCCCAGCTGTGTGACCTTGGGCAGATTCCTTAGTGTCTCTGTACCTGAGTTCCTTACCAGTAAAACAGGGATAATAAAACCTATCACATAGAGTATTTGAGGATTAAATGAGCTAATATATCTAAAGAATTTTCAATAGTGCTTTCAATAGCACATGGAAAGCACGATAGAAAGTTATTTTTATTATGAAAATGGTTCCCTAAGGCAATACATTTACATAATACAAAATACATTTGGCCCCAACAAATAGTAATGGTTGGTAGCCGCTCCACAAGGAGTTTCTCGGGAGAGTATAAGTGCCAGTGGGTGGAGTAGAGTACATCGAGACTGTACAGCCTGTGATAGCCCTAAAGGCTCCAGGGAGAAGGTGGGATTGGAGATAGGCTTTAAAGAGTGAGTAGGATTTGAATTAGGTCGGTTGGCAAATACCATTTTGGCACCTACTGTGCAGGGCTTTGTGGGCTGTAAGGAGTGCTCCTATGAGGTAAAGTGAAGAGTGGAAGCCATTTCTCCAAGAGGAAGGACACTGTCCTCTGGGGGCCTGTACCCTTTTCTGGAAGACTGTCGGGTACAGCAGACAGACTCCTTATTCTGTGAACAAGCAGAGGGCTAGTTGCATCTCAAGGAGCCTCTTACAGGAGGTTCCAAGGCTGCGCTTCTGGAGGAGTGAGTGATCTCTTCCAGCAAGTGGTCCCCAGGAGTCTGCCTGTCCATAGGCTCTGGGCACTGGACGGATAGAAGATCAGTGTGTGAGGCTGTGGGTCATCACCTGTCTCCCCGCCCCCTCAACACACACGCACAGTCTGAGTGATCATCCGTTGATTTTTCCTCACGGTGCTGTCTCAAGAGGATATTTCCTTTTCTGTTGAGGCCTTGGCAGAGGGGGCGGGATTCTTGATGAGGTGCTGGTGGGGTTCTCCAGGGCAGCGTGTGTGCTATTTATCTCCTGCCATTCGCTTGCACTTCCCTTTCCTGAGCCTCTGATGTACCCCTAAGCCATGGAGAGAAGGTCTGATAAGCTGCAGACAGGTGAGGAGTGCAGGTAAGGTGTGCAGGAGGAGGGGTGAGGCAGACAGGAGCTGGGGAGCAGGCTTCCCAGCCAGCAGGCCTTTAGCCCCTCTGGCCAGATTCTTCTGGTGACATGACTGGAAGCAAAGAGGAAGTTATTACCTCCCTTAAGTGGCCTTGACGGCAATAGGGTTAAGTGGCCTGGGGAGAGAAAGTGTGATGTGGTAGGAAAGCATACCTGTGCGAGGGTGAGAAGGCCGATAATCTAGTTCTAGCTCCTCCATGAATAGCTGTGTGACCTCAGGCAGGTTGCTTCACCTCTCTGGGCCACCTCATAGGAAGTCATACCGGATGACTTTGAAGGGCCGTTCCAGCTTGAAAGCCTATGATTTGTACCTGGCCTTCCACAGGGTATCATTGTTCCACCTCTCCTGTGCCTTCTTTCCAGAGCATTTAGAAGAAGGCTGGTCATACAGGGAATGACGTGAAAGAAGAATATAAGTTCCGACCTACTCTGGGAGAACGTCTACTCTAGTTGGAGGGAGAAAGCCTTCCCGTATGAAATGTTAATCATTTCACTCATAAATTACCCTTGCATAATACTTTTCACTCTGGGAAGAGCTTCCCCATCTTCCACCTCCTTTCACAGCACAAACCCCAGTAGTGGAACTTTCCTCAGGCAGTTTTGCTATGTGTCCCAGGAGTGCTGTGGATAGGAGGAGCCTGTGTCTGATGCTGGTTCTCTCTTCCAGGTGAGGAGTTTTACGAAGCCTCACCCTACGAGCCGGTCACCTCCCGCCTCTCAGACATCTTCAGGCTTGCTTCAATCTTCTCAGGTAAGTGGTCTGTGGTGTGACTTTGCCCATCAGCCCCTAGCACCCAGGCTCTCCTCTTGTCCCTGTGGTAGATAGAGCTCTGGGCTTGGACACAAGTGTCCTGGACTTCATTTGGCTGTGCTGTCCCCAGCAAGTCCTTTAGTGTTTCTGAGCCTCATTTGTAAAATGGGACCATAACACCTGCCTCCCTTGGTTGTTGTATGGAGTAAAGCATTTATGGAAATTGCTTAACATGATGCCCATCATGTAGGAGGTTCTTGAATCTGAAACCTGATGTCACTCTCCTATTTTGTCACTCATCTTGCCCTGCTGGTTCCTTCCCTCCAGTTCCCTGACTCTTCTGCTTTGGAGCTCTTCTTTTTGCGTCCAGTTGCTTAACCTCTTTGTACCTTAGTTTCCTCAGTTATGAAATGGGAGAGAATAATAGTACCGTCCTCTCTGGATTGTTGTGAGGGCAAAATGAATCAGTGTCCCGTGAAGGGCTCAGCATGCTGCTGGGCACACGTAGGCATTCAGTAATCGTTAGCTGTGGTTCTTCGTATTAGGATTACTGCTGTTCATTCTGCTCCAGGTTTTCCCTTGCCATGTCCCCCTCACAGCCCTCTTCCTCCGCTGAGGGTTCTGCTTCTCCAACCACCCTGAGGGAGAGATCTGAGGGAGAGTCTCTGATCCCCAGGCCAATGCCCACTCCTGGCCTGCTCTGGGAAATGAGAAGGAGTGATGCTGAGCTCTAGTTTTGCTTGCCCCAGTCCGTGTATAGGAATAAATGAGCTTTTTGGTTCTTCCTTCTTGGCTTTGTTCCCTCTGGCTGTAGGGAGACCAGTGAGCTGAGGGCAGCCCTCTCCTTCTCAGGTACTAGGGAGGGGCTTGCACATGGGGGTAGAGGTGAGCTCTTCTTGGAGTCACCATTGGTGCTCAAGGGTAGCCAGAGTGGTGCTTGTTCTCCAGGATTTGTGAGTACAGGGCCCCAGCCCCTAGGTTTACAGGGAGTTTCATGGCAGTCTTGAAGCCTTCTGAAGTTTCTATTATTCTAAAGCAATGTTTCTCAACAGCAACACTATTGACATTTTGGGCTGAGTAATTCTTTGTCATGTGAGGCTCTTCTTAGCTGCATCCCTGGCCTCTACACACTAGATACCAGCAGCATCTCCCACCACTTATGACAACCAAAATGTCTTCAGACATTGCCAAGTATCTCCTGGGGGGCAAAATCATTGCTGGTGGAGAACTACTGCCCTAAACTGTAAAATCAAAGACCCTCCAGTGAGACCCTAGTCCTTTCAAATGAACAATTCTCTTGGACAGTGTTTCTCAACTTTGTTTTTTCATTATCACGTAACCCTAAAGAGAAAAATTAATTCTCCTTAATGAAAGAAATGAAATACTGAGGAATAAAATTTTGCAGGTAAGGTTGAATTTTGGAGGGCTACTAACCATTGTAATGTTCAACTTTTTCTTGCCTACCCAAGAGCCAACTTCTGCTCCCTTAGGGGTAACACCCCTACTGTTGAGGATGTGTACTCTAAAGGATTGAGATGGGGGTAATATGTATGTCCCTGGTAGGGAAAATCTTGGACTCATTGGCAGAGGGTGGCCTTCTGAACATGCTTGTGGGTCCTGTTGGTGGTTAGGGGGTTGTGATGATGAAAGGAATGTTGAACAGCCTGCCCTGGGCTCTTACCCTCATAACCCCTCAGTTGGGTAATAGCAGAGGCACTGGGCTCAGAGCAGGCTCCCATCCTGGTTCTGCCTCTAGTTACGATGATACCTCAGGCAGTCTTGCCCATCTGACAGGGCTGGACAAGATGATTGATGGACTGGCTAAGGTCCCATCTAGTGCAGATAATTCCAATTCTTGGATTTCCTGATTAGTTTTGAATGGAAATCCATTATGTTATACTCCTTTTGATGCAGTGTTCTGGGACTGAGTTGCAGGCTAAGAACATCATTGGCATGTAGATGCTCTGGTGGGGATGCCCTGGTGACCCCAAAGGTACCCATTTCCCACTCTGCTGTAGCTTAGGTGTCAGCTGGGTACTAATGCACGGGCAGGTGCCATTGAGGTTACTGCCAATAAATAACTTTTGCCTTGTCCTCTGACTATTGGAGATCAGAGGCCCTCACCTTTGCCCAGGCCCCTGCTGCTTCCTGGAGTCACATTTAAGTATCTTGCTAGCAGAAAATCTTTCCTTAATGGACTTGACACTCTGCGGGACAAGGATGTTGACAAGACAAATGAGGAAATTACTAGGTCTGTAACTCACTGAACAGCTCTGTTACCTGCAGCCCAGAGATAACTGGGCCCCGTAGAGCCCTCAATCCCTGTGCTCTAGGGACCACTTCCTACTGTGAGAGTAAGGCTTTGGGGTCTGTGTCAGTTAAGGAAACTTGGACACATAGCTGGGTAGGGGGAGGACCTGGCCCCACCACCAGGAAACCAAGTGGGTCATGGTGGGGGGTACAGCAGAAAGAAGGCTGGAACCAGGGAGACCAGGGTTCTGGTGCGGATTCTGCCACAAATCAGCTGTGGGACTATGGGCAGGTCACTTCCTTGCTCCAGCCAATGCTTCCCAACATTTTTCTCATTAGAAAATGATAATATTGTATAGCATACTAGGGTGGACAGAGGAAGCTGCTTAACCAGCTTAGAGCTCAGGCCATTGCAACCCCCCTGCCTGACTGGCCTGTGGGCTAAGGGATCAATATCTGGGCACGTATAGAACCCATCTGTGGCACGCTGGTTGGGAAGTCCTGGCCTCAGTGATCCAAGATCCTGCTCTGATGGTATAGGATTATAAAGCTGATAAGTCTGCAGTTCTGTAGGATTGTATGAAATCAGGTGGGAAGCCCCTCCCCACTTCCACACACCATATTTGGCTATTTTCTGCCCCCTTCACTATTCCTGGGTGGAAAGCCAAGGACTCTTGGTGTCCCTCCTGTTGGCCTACACTATGCCCGGAGTGTGACACCAGGGATTTGAAGGAGAAGGGTGCTGTTGTATCTTTAGATCTCAATTCCTACTGTCTCTTTTCCATCTAATATCTGAGAATTTGGGACCCTGTTGTAGGGGACTCCTGGAATGTGTGGTGTTGTTCTTTATCTCTTGCCTTGTCTCTTTGTTGAGGTTGTTGGAAACTCCCACTAGGATTATGTTGGTAAAGGAAGCTTCCAGGATTCCTCTAAAACCTTCTGACAGCCAGAGGCCCTGGGGGAAATGTGGATCACCGCCCCCCCTGCCTTGGTCCTATCTGACAGGCCCTGGGATCAGTAGGGTCTAAATTCCTGTGTCCAGTTAGTTCTGAGTCCAAGGCCAGGAGGAGAGAAGTCTGGCTCCATCCTCAACCACAGGGACAGTGATGCTGGAGGCATCCAGATGTCCTGCCCCAGCCTTACAGGTGAGAAGAGATATTTAATTGAGAAGAGCTGAGGTTTGTCCTGTTTCTTGCACAGAGGCAGCCTGATGTACTGGAAAGCCTTGAGCCAAATGGTCCTGGGTTTGAATCCTTGCTTGGTCACTTAAAGGTGTGTGGGTGTGCAAATCTTGAGCCTTATTGTGACCTTTTAGAGCCGTAGTGCCTGTAATTGTAGAACACAGATGAGATACCTACATGTAGGGTTGATAAAGAAGATTTAATGAGAATGGATGTGTACATAGTGCCTGCTTTGTGGCAGAGTCTGTACTAGGTTTAACATAGTCATTCATTCTCTCCCCTGGAGATGCTCAGTAGAAGTGGGATGTCTTCTTGAGGGGATGCAGGATTTGGAAGAACCAAAGTTGAAAGTTCATCCCATTCCCAGTCTTCCATGAACCTGTGAATATTGAGTCCCAGCTGGTTGCATCTGAAGAGGCAGGAGAGGACGGAACAAGGCAGAGAAAACAGAGAAAAGATTCTTAGGGCAAGAAAGAGATCTTTCCATACAGCCATGGTAGTCAAAACAATCTGGTACTGGTACAATGACAGACACACAGACCAGTGGAACAGAATTGAGAAACCAGACATAAATCCATCTACCTATGGACAACTGATCTTCAACAAAGCCAAAGTCCATTAAATGAGGGAATAGACAGTCTCTTCAACAAATGGTGCTGACAACACAAGACATCTGTCTGCAGAAAAATGAAACAGGACCCATACCTCACACCATACACAGAAACTAACTCAAAACAGATCAAAGACCTAAATATAAAACTGAAAACTATAAAGATATGGAGGAAAACATAGGGACAAAGCTAGAGGCCCTAATATATGGCATAAATAGAATACCAAACGTAACTAAAAATGCACACAAGCAGAAGATGAACTAGATAACTGGGACCTCCTAAAAATTAAATACTTAGACTCAACAAAAGACTTCTCCAAAAGAGAAAAAAGAGAACATACAGATTGGGAAAAAATTTTTGGCTACGACATATCTAATAAGGGTCTAATCTCTGAAATTTATAGAAAACTTCAGTACCTCAACAATAAAAAGACAATCCAGTTAAAAAATGGGCAAAGTATATGAACAGACACTTTACCAAAGAAGACATTCAGGCAGCTAATGAACATATGAAGAAATGCCCACAATCATTAGCAATTAGATGCAAATCAAAACTACAATGAGATACCATCTCACCCCGACATTACTGTCACTAATCAAAAAAGCAGAAAATAACAAATGTTGGTGAGGTTGTGGGGAGATTTGAACTCTTATACACTGCTGGTGGGAATGTAAAATGGTATAACCACTAGCTTTTTGAGTTTTCTCAAAAAGCTAGAAATAGAAATACCATATGATCCAGCAATCCCACTCCTAGGTATATACCCTGAAGAGGTAAGAGCTGTGACATGAATAGACATATGCATACCCGTGTTCATTGCAGCATTATTCACAATAGGAAAAAGATGGAAACAACCTAAGTGCCCATCAACAGATGAAGGGGTTGACAAACTGTGGTACATACACCCAATGGAATAGTATGCAACAATAAAGAATAATGACGAATCCATGAAACATCT